AGCCCCCGGCCCGGGCGGCGGCGGCGGCGGAGCCTGTGAGAACCCCGAGAAGTTCCAGTACGTGGAGAAGAGCCGCTCGTGCGCGCCGCGCTGCGGGCCCGGCGTTGAGGTCTTCTGGTCTCAGCGCGACAAGGACTTCGCGCTCGTCTGGATGGCGGTGTGGTCGGCGCTGTGCTTCTTCTCCACGGCCTTCACCGTGCTCACCTTCCTGCTGGAGCCTCACCGCTTCCAGTACCCCGAGCGCCCCATCATCTTCCTCTCCATGTGCTACAACGTGTACTCGCTGGCCTTCCTCATCCGCGCCGTGGCGGGCTCGCGGAGCGTGGCCTGCGACCAGGAGGCGGGCGCGCTCTACGTGATCCAGGAGGGCCTGGAGAACACGGGCTGCACCCTGGTCTTCCTGCTGCTCTACTACTTCGGCATGGCCAGCTCGCTGTGGTGGGTGGTCCTCACGCTCACCTGGTTCCTGGCGGCCGGCAAGAAGTGGGGCCATGAGGCCATCGAGGCCCATGGCAGCTATTTCCACATGGCGGCCTGGGGGCTGCCAGCGCTCAAGACCATCGTTGTGCTGACTCTGCGCAAGGTGGCTGGGGATGAGCTGACTGGGCTCTGCTACGTGGCCAGCATGGACGTGGCGGCGCTCACCGGCTTCGTGCTGGTGCCCCTCTCCTGCTACCTGGTGCTGGGCACCAGCTTCCTCCTGACGGGCTTCGTGGCACTCTTCCACATCCGCAAGATCATGAAGACAGGTGGCACCAACACGGAGAAGCTGGAGAAACTCATGGTGAAGATCGGGGTCTTCTCCATCCTCTACACGGTGCCTGCCACCTGCGTCATTGTCTGCTACGTCTACGAACGCCTCAACATGGACTTCTGGCGCCTTCGGGCCGCAGAGCAGCCATGCACACCGGCCACTGTGCCCGGAGGCCGCAGGGACTGCTCGCTGCCAGGGGGCTCCGTGCCAACCGTGGCAGTCTTTATGCTCAAAATCTTCATGTCGCTGGTGGTGGGCATCACCAGTGGTGTCTGGGTGTGGAGCTCCAAGACTTTCCAGACCTGGCAGAGCCTGTGCCACCGCAAGATGGCTGCTGGCCGGGCCCGGGCCAAGGCCTGCAGGGCCCCCACAGGCTACGGCCGGGGCACCCACTGCCACTATAAGGCCCCCACGGTGGTCTTGCACATGACTAAGATGGACCCCTCTCTGGAGAACCCCACTCACCTCTAGCGACACAGGCATGGCTCGGAGTGTTGGCTGCCCCCTCCTTGCGCCCCCCACCCCCCGACAGCTGACTAGCAGCTGTCCAGCTGTCAAGGCCAGGCAAGTGAGTGCAGGGGGCTGAGGATCAGGGTGGGGACCAGCGAGGCTCACACTCCCGTGCCCCCTATGCAGCGGGTGGCCTGCCTGAGGCCCCAAGGGCCCTAGGAGAGGATGTGGAGAGGAGGAGGGTGCAGAGGGCATGGTCCAGCAGGGAGTTTATTTAATGATGTAATTTATTGTTACGTTCTCTGGAAGCTGTGACTGGAATAAACCCCCGTGTGGCACTGCAGACTCCTCTCTGGGCTGGAAAGGGGGCAGGTAGGAGGGCGAGGGTCCTGCAGGAGGCTCCCTGTGTGCGCAGTTGGCTGGGGTGGGGGCTCACCACAGGCTTCTGACCTCTGGCTCCCCACCAATCAGGAGGAAGTTCCCTTGCAGAACAGCTGTATTTTTCAAGTCCCAGACACTGTGTGTGTGTGTGTGTGTGTGCATGGGCATGGGCATTTTTGCATGTTTGTGGCCTTCTCCTGTCTCTGGGACCTGAGTGGCATGTCTCTGAAGAGGGTCTGGGATACCTGCCAGGATACCCAGGGAGTTGCTAGGGATGCCATTGCCACCTCTGGCCCTGGGGTATCCAGCCCATTTGGGGCCATGAGTAAGTTTTCCCTTTCTCACACTTTGCTTTACTCATTCGTGTAGAAAACGAGGGCATCAGCCTGTCTCTGAGTTGTCTCAAAGGTTGCCTTCCCTGGTGACCGAGGCTGGAGGGTGACATCCCCCATGAAGATGGCTGTGTGTCCACTTCCCTGCTCAGGGCCCTCCCATCCGTAGGGCATCTGGGTAGCAGATATTGCCTACGAAGGGGAGGCCTGGAGTTGAGTGGGAATCTGGCCCTGGCTCTTGAAGCATTGGCAAGATTTGGGGTGCCGGTGGCAGCTGTGAGTAGGGGGCAGGTCTGGGATTTTGCAGAGCTCCATCTGGAGCATTTGCACCCTCATGGGCCAGGAGGTAGTGAGCTGGGGAAGGAAGCTCAGGGCTGCTGGGACCTGCCTCGGCTGTACCCCCTCGTAAGGCAGCTGGGTGTGTGGGGGCATCTGACCCCTTGTCGGCTTGGGGTCAGACCCCAGGGCCTGTCTTGACATCTGCCTTGTCCGCTGACAAGGTGAGGTCTTCGTGACTGCCCCCTGGGTGTACTACACACAGCCAGCCTTCAGTGTCAAGACGTGCACAGGGCCCAGCCCTGCTCCCAGAGTTCCAGGCTGGGGAGAAGCTTCTGTGTCCATGGTGCCTGATGTCAGTAGGAGCACTGAATCCCAAAGGCAGGACCTTTCGGTGCGAGCTCTTTGCCCTGGACCAGCGGCTGCAGGGACAAGGAAGTCTGAAGAGAAGCAAACAGGCTGGGTCAAGTTCCCAGACAGGTCAAGGGGGTTAAGGAGGAACAGAACTGACCTGATCCCCAAGGGATCTGTAACCGTGACCCCACCTCCCCGACTGTTGCAGGTTCTTACACAGGGAATGCCCTTGTCTCACCCTTCTCTTCCTGCAGATCACACCCACCTGTGCCTTTGACCAGCAAAGCTGACCCGAGCTCTTGTAACTCCCTGGAGAGTGAGGGTCTTTTGAGTGAGAAAGTGAGGGAGCTTCCTGGAGGCCACAGGGTGTGTTTGGGGGGCGTTGGGGGCTGGCCTGCTGGGACAGAATTCCAGAAACCTGGAGGTGAGCCTCAAAGGGGCACCTCAAGTGCCCTCTCCCCTGCCAGTGGCTTGTGGTCTTGTCCATTCAGCAGGAACAAGCCTGGTGCTGGCTTTTGGGGTGACAGGGAGAATTGGGGAGCACAAAGGGCTACAGTGCAGGGTCTGCAAGGCAGGTCCGTAGGGGCTCTGCTTTGGGGCTGGGATGGTTCACAGCTGCCAGGACTAGGAAGGAGGGTGGCTGAGGCCTCCGCTCGACCCTGGAAGCTACTAGGAAAGAGAGTTCCAGACTGAAGAAAAAGGAGGTCTTCCACCTGGATTGTCCCTTCCCCCGTTTACAGACCCAAGTGTGGAAAGGGCTTGACTGTCTCAGAATCAGTCGGCAGTGTGTGGCTGCACGAGCTGAGCCTGAGTCTACCTCTGAAACTTGTCCTTCCTACCTCGTATTTGGGTCAGTGAGGTGTGAGGGACAGCGAGGTGCGTAACTTAGGGAGGTCATTCCAGAGCTGGGCCAGGGGCTGGGTGGGGAGACCATCTTGCTCCCCACAGCTGAACCTTCTTGTTCTAACCCCCTAAAAAGAACACTTCAGAGACAAGCTATAGTCTCTGAGAAACTGACACAGCTGCCCCTCCCTTCCCTGGATGTCCTTCACCTTCAGGGTGCAGAGGCCCAGCCTGTGTGGTCTAAGCTTGTGCATGTGAGGGTCCAACCGAGTTCAGCACTTCCTAGCCCAGGGGAGAGGCTCACCCTGGAGGAAGCTGCCAGGCCTGTGAAAGGCCCAGGGAAGGACTTAGGACAGGGCTCAGGAACTTCTGCTGGGACCCACTTCCTCTCAGGGGTGTGAGGTGAGGGGAAAGCACCGAGGATGAGGACACCGAGTGGTGGGCCTCAGGGGAAGCACTGGTTCAGACCACCCTCAGGAATGGTCCCATGTCCCCATCTGCAGTAATCACTTAGTGACCACTGAATGGTTTCTCCCCTCGAGCTTACAGCCTGGGCAGGGAGCAATGTGCTGAGATGAGCAACACCAGGACGCAGACCCTGGGTCCACAGACACTACAAATGAGGAACAGGACTTCTCAGGTGACGCTGTGGGAGTGCGAGTGCCAACCTGGTGGGAAGTATGTTCAGAGGTAAGGCTGGGCATGGTGACACACACCTAGAATCCCAGCATGTGGAAGCTGAGGCAGGAGGCTTGAGTTCAAGAACAGCCTGAGGAGCTTAGCCCATCTCAAGGCACAGCTCTCTTCTCCAGAGCTGGGGGCGGGAGCAGGCAAACTGGCTGAATCCAGGCTGACGCTGGGAAGCCTGCTTCCTCCCCAAAGGCCTGGACATCCCTAAGTGCCCAATACAGGAGGGCACTGATGCTTTTCCTGCAATCCTAGCTCAGGTGGTCTGGCTGGGAAGCTCCACTTCTCAGTAAACAGCATCACGGCAGAGGCTCAGCAAAATCTTTGTATTCCACAGGCAGGTTGCTGCCCTATAGTGACCTACTCAAATCAACCCAACTTTAAAAAATAAATGAGTATAAATAAAACGAGACCACGTGTTAGAAATGTGCAAGCTGTGCACATGGAAATTCATTACACTTTTCTGTGCGCTTGAAATTTTCCCTGAAAAATGTTTTCCAGTATGAGTTTCCCAAAATGTAAAGAACCACACAGATTTCCAGTCTTGAATACTTTTTCCCTAGTTCCAGATGAAATTTGGGGTTTAGACAGAGGTGAGGCCAGGAGAGGCTTGGAGGACCTACCCAGAAACAGGGACAGGAACAGGGGTCAGAGCCGCCCCTTTCCCCCAAGGCTGGGGGTGCAGCGGGTGGGGCCTACCCCACATCCAGAGGCTCTGGCCTAGTCAGGGGCAAGCAGCTCCCAGCTGCGCTACCTGCCACCACCCCAAGAGCAAAAAGAAACAGCCACAATTGTTTCTTCTTTATAAACACAGGTACATAATGTTTATTTGAAATCCCAATTTATTATAAGTTCACCCTTTAATGGGGCCCTTCCTCCTTAAAGACAATTTAAAAACCAACCAACAATGCAGGTGTCACTGCAGTGGGAACACGGGATTCTCACTAGAACAAGGACAGACTGGACCTAGGATAAGAAGCAGGGGAAGGCAGTGGTGGCTGGGATTATGACACTGTAAGGTCAGTGCTCACTCCAAGCCTGCAAGAGAAGGGATGGTAACCAACCCACAAGCCACGGGAGCAAATTCCCAAGTCCCTGGGCAGGGAAAGAGGGAGACAGGATCACACCTGAAGTGTCAGGTCAAGAGGTTTTATTATCTCAGTCCGAGGAGTGGCAACCCCCAGGTGATCTAAAGAGCTGAGGTGCTCACATTTTCCAAATTCAAAGTCGATAGAAAAGAAAATTAAACCCTGTCTTATACTTTTATCAAAAATCTGTCATAAAAGGGAAAGAAGACTACAAACTTTTGCCTAAATGTAACTAGGCTAGCCTGGCTGCGGGGAGGGCTCTCACAGAGGTTCCTGCTACCCCTCTCCACTTGCTGAGATGCACCGGTCACAGGAGCTCCAGTCTGAGGCAGAGTAGGGACTCGGGAGGCGGACAAGGAGGCAGAAAGAGCCACCACAGTAGGCAGAGGGCCCAGAGCACCACCAGATCCCACTGCCTGTCTGTGCGGACCTCTGGCCCAACTTCTCTGAAGGCGCGCGGCTGGCGGAGGGAGGACGGGGTGTAAAGCAACACGTCATCATAGAAATCGTACTGTACATGTGCCAAAGCAAGATGACAAATATTTTACAAGATGTTCTTTATACAATATCACTGCTAAAACAAGCAACTTTTAATAACTAGAAAAGTCAATTTAAAAAAATTAAACATTACAGTCTTCCTGCTCTTCTTCTGCTAAGAGCTTGTCTGGTATGTGGGTGGGCTGGGCTCCAACACCCTCTGGCCAGATCCACAAAGTAAAGGTTATAAGCATGATTACAAGCAGGACACCAGTCTTGAGTGAAGTGCCGTAGTTTTTTGTTTTCTGAGGTGATGAGGTGAGGTGGGAGGAGGGGGGGAGGGGTACTCAGGAATGGCTCCAGGGAATGTCCCTTTACTCTGCCAAGCTCAAAACCACAACTGTCCCATGATGCTGGTGAACAGAGCTCTGCATGGCACTCACTGATACTGTCACCTGAGAGGGAGAAGGTGGAAGAGACAGTATGGGCTTAAAGAAACAAGATTGTGTATAAATATAGATTAAAAAGAAAATCAACACCACCTCCCCAAAGGCCTGGCTCCTCTTGATCCTGCTATGTAACACAGTCACCCTTCCCTGGAGGCCAGAGGGGCTTGGCACTGCTGTGGGAGCCAACGTGGGAGAAACCTTAGGAAGGAGAAAAGGAAAAAGAACTGGGTTCCCAGGAAGAATTGCCCCTGGCCTCCTCCTGGAAACTTCCAGAAAGCAGGGGTAAGGCCCTCTTCTGCCCCTAGTATTTCTTGGCAGAGACTATCAGCCCAAGATCAGCCACCCCAAGAGCTCTGCTTGAACAAGGCCCTGTGGGGAGTTGGAGAAAAACAGCCCAGGCCTGGAGTGACAGACATTTCTGGACTCCACGACTGCTTCCCTTTTGAGTTCTTCTTCAGCTTCCTCTCTTACCCCACCGGCTGTCTCCCACCTCCCTTACCACAGCCCCGCCTCTATTTCTTCTGTCTTCGTCCCCTGGTCTGTCCAACGGGTTCTGGATCACTGTCCCCTTCATCATCAGCAAGCCGATCAAGAAACTTCTTGCGTTTCCTGCGGACATACTGATGCCCAGGAAGGTGTTTATGCAGCAGAGCCACCAGACACTGTTCTGTCTTCACTGTGCAGTTCAGAACGTGGCTGCCGCGGCAGTTGTAAAGCTCGGCATTGGTAAACACTTGCTTCATGTCGGTGAGAAACTCCTGCACTGAGTGGTAGTTCCCACAGGAGCACTTGTTCTGCATTGTCTGAAAGTCCATAGGGTGTGTGATCACATCATAGTAGTCCTCGGCCTCATCTCTGGTCACGGGCTCCCTGTAAATAAAGGAGAACCACATGGAGATGTCTTGAGTGCAACTCAGAGAGATCTCGGTGTCGAGTAACCAGCGACAGAAGGCCCACAGCTGTGGGTAGCCGCCACCTGGGGGACAGAGGTGGGTCTACCGTGTCAGACCCACCCCTCCCTCCCCGTGTGGAAGAGTTAATCCCTCTGCCACCAAGGTTCATCCTGGAAGGGAGGGACCCAAGGCAGTGCCAGCTCCCACCCGGCGCACCTGAAGGGCCAACTGAAGCGGTACTTCACAATCTTGTGGAGGATCTCCTCACACTTCTGCAGCTCCAGGCTTTGCCTCCGGGAGCTGCGCTTGGTTTGAAGCACCTAGCACCAAAGAAAGAAGAATCTCATCACAGTTCTCAGAGCAGAGCAGAAGACAGAGTAGTAAATGTGTATCTCTGCTTTAGAAAGAAAACAGAAAGCCCAGCATGGTGGCGCACGCCTGTAAGCCCAGCACTCGGAAGGCTGAGGCAGGAGGATTGCTGTGAGTTTGAGACCAGCGTGGGCTACATAGTGAGTTCCAGGTCAGTCTCAACTACATAGTACATAG